ACGCTTTCTGTAGGTGCCACGTTGGTATCAATAGTGCACTCATTTGGCGACGGAGGGCTGCCACCACATACTTTGATTACTATACGGGGCAAGAGAGAGGTCCGACACGCCCAACATAGGGCGCGGCCATTTTGAACCCTATGACACAGTTTATAGCTAAAGAATCAGATCGCTCACTCTGCATCGGCACTTTTGATGTCAATGTTCCAGTTTATACACTGCGTAACTCAGATAATACAATATATAACAACCGCCTATAATAAAATAGCAGTCTTCTGCATATCCTGAATTTGCATCCGTGGAGTGGATGTTATTTTGGAACTTTCAACTGGTCCGAGTGAGCTAACTGATTCTTTAGCAATAAACTGTGACTCCAAAAATAATATTCACTGACACTGATAGCAGCAAGCAAAATATCAGGTCCGTTTTAATCATCCGCTTCTGCTTCCGGAATTGTCGGTTCAATCGTTCTAACCCACTGATATGTATTATTTTACTGGATAGGATATAGGCTATATTTAACATACTAAAAAATCGTTCCACCAAGGAGACCGGAAGTGCAACAATGCTGACCGATTTGGGCAAATTATGGTGGGTTCACAGAACTGAAATTTGGGATAATTTGACATACCTAACCTATAATTTGATTAGTTTTTCTTCTTATTCTTCTTCTATTCCTTTTGCGGGCGATGTCCTTCGGGAAATTTCACCCATGATTTGATTTTTTATGAAAGAAAATATAAAAATGGAAACGTGAAGCATATTGTGTCTTCAGGAATGAACGTTTATTGTTTATTTCATACTCTTTTTACTTTGTTTTCCACAATAAAAACATCTCATCGTAGCTTGTTGACACAATTAAATGACAAATGTGATGACAAATGGAAATAGAGGTTACGTTAAATAACATCCGGTCCGCCATATTATTTGCCCAAATCGGCCAATTTTTCGGAACGTTTTTTAGGGGGCTATATCCTATCCAGTAAAATAATACAGATCAGTGTTCTAACCTGTCAGATTAAAACAAGAAAACCGACAATTCCGAAGCAGAAGCGGATGATTAAAACGCACCCATTAAAAATATTGCGCCAAGGTGTAGGCAACACGTAATAAGGGTTCAAAATGGCGGAGTTTTCTATCTCCTTTTAAAAGGCACTCAGAAAGCTGCGCAGTGCAACCATTCTCCGTATAGTAAAAGAAAATCAAAAATCAAAGTATGTGATGTTATTACTGAGCCAACTCGCATTTCTGAAAGTTGTGCCACATTACTAGATCCCATCTTTATTAATTGCAAAGACATTTGTCAAGACAGCGCCACCATCCCCTTTCACTTGAGTGATCATAATATGATGCCTCATTGCACACTAAATATATCTATTAATAAATCGAGACAGAAATTCATTACTAAAAGGAAATTTAAAAACCTAAGTATTGAAAAATTTAAAAGGGATTTACAAGCAATTTACTGGGATGGTATATTCTTTATTAATAATATTAATGGTAAGGTCAGCTTCTTAACTGACAATATGACTATGCTTTTCAATGAACATGTACCTTTGGTAAAAATCAGAGTCAGTAAACCACCAGCTCCCTGGCTTACTGATAATTTAAAGTTAATTCTCAAGGAACGGGATAAGGCATTATCTAAATTTAAATGTAACAGAACACCTGAAAACTGGATGCATTATAAGGAATATCGAAATTATGCTCTGGCCTCAATTAGGAGGAAAAAGCAGCATTTTTATCCAGTTTGCAGAATGAAAAAAATGAGAAACGTTTATGGAAAGGCCTGCACAATATTAATGTTCATTTTATTTTAAAAAATGATCTACCTGTGAATCTACAAGATCCTACAGAAATAAATGATTATTTTACTAGCATTTTTAAAAATCTGACAATTGTCTTAAACAGATTCATTATTATGCTAATAATAAATACCTGAACAATACTTTTAATTTTACCTTAGTTAATCAAAATAACGTCCGAGATGCAATAAATTCAATCAACTCTACCTACTATGTTAGATATGTTACATATAATTGATTGCTGCCTTCAGTGTGGCTAATTTCCAAGGGCTTGGAGAGAGCCTGTCATTTGTTCTATTCCTAAAATATCTAATCCTAGTTCGGTACAAGACTTACGTCCTATAAGCTTATTGCCTGTTATTTCTAAGATTCTTAAACGAGTTGTGTATAACCAGTTATTTGAATATTTAACTACTCATAAAATCCTACCTGTACAACAATCTGGCTTCCGCAAACAGCATAGTACCACTACTTCGTTACTAAACCTCTGTGAAAATGTTATTCGTGCAATTGATAAAAGACTTGCTTTTGTTCTAATTGTCTTGGATTATTCTAAAGCTTTCGATTTAATTGATCACGAACTTTTGTGTGAAAAACTTCAATACTATGGATGTAGTGATACTGTTTTATCTTTTTTCAAATCTTATTTGTGGAATCGTACTCAGAAGGTAGTGATTGATAATAACTTCTCGGATTCAAAAATCATTATTTTAGGCGTCCCCCAGGGATCCATTATGGGTCCTTTATTATTTTTAGTATACACCTCTGACTTACCAAAAGTACTTAAGGATAGTCAAGTTCAACTTTACGCTGATGACACCCAGTTATTAAATTATTTCGAACCCCAAGATATACACAATGCTAACAATCTGATTAATAGAGATTTGCAGTTTCTATTACAATATTCAAAAGAACACAATCTTACTATTAATCCTTCAAAAACTACTGCTGTTCTATTTTGCAGTGAAGCCAGACGTGTTGTTATTGAAAGATCAATGAGACTCGAGTTGGATGATGTTAGTATAACTTTAAATTATGAATCAAAAAATGTGGCTATACTTATTGATCAGTCTCTTAGATTTAAGAGTCATATTAAGACCTTGATCAAGAGATGCTACTCAAGATTGCAGTTGCTTTACATTAATAGGCATATATTGAACTTTAAAATGAGGAAAAGACTTTGTGTATATTTAGTTTTATCAATATTAAGTTATTGCAATATTGTTTACTATCCTTGTCTGGACAAACTGTCACAGAGCCAATTACAGCTTATACAAAATGCTTGTTGCAGGTACATTTTTGGTTTGAGGAAATATGATCATATCTCAATTTATTTCGCTCAGCTGAAATGGCTCAAAGTTGACAATCTATATCAACTAAATCTATTAATATTAAAGACAAGGAACCCTGCCTATTTGTTTGAGAAATCAATTTTCATAACATCTGTTCATAATGTTAATATTAGACATAATACGCTTACAATGCCTCATCATTCCACTGCAAAGTTTGAAAGAGGTTTCACTTATAATGCTGTTAAAATATAAAATCAGTTTTATTTTCTATCTTTAGACGTGAGATTAAAAAGTATTTTTTGGCTAAGCAATAACCTGTTTTGTTTGGATTTCTCATTATATATATATTTTTTTTTCTATGTTTCAATGGTTGTTCTTTGTAATTATTTTTATGTCTATTTGTTATTAATACTATAAGACTACAGATCATTATGCTATTACTGTGTAAATATAATGTAAATAGTATGTTATTATGTCAACTAGGAAGGTTAAGGGTTAAGAGTAGCTGTATAGCTAACCTTCGCCTCCCTGGTGCAAATGTATGTACGCATTTGTTTTATAAAGACGTATTATTATAATTGAGAGTTGCACTTGTTATTACCACCGACGAATTAACAAAAATAATGCTATGCTGTAATAAGATAGCTCTTTTTGAATTGAAGATAATAAACAAGTCATTTTTTGTCTATTCCTAATTCAGACAAGTTAATGCGGCACCCTACTTGCTGATTTATATGGTATATATGCGATGCCCGGTTATATTAGATAGTAGTGTAAATAACACACACTTCAAAACCACAGAGCTGGACTGCAAGAAAGAATTGAGCCAAGAATCAATCGCGCTTGCAACCACGTGCTATTTAGTGGTGTACGGACGGTTCCAAAACCATAGAAGGAACTGGAATAGGAGTGTATGGGCCGAGAACCAAGCACTCCGAAAGCTTGGCAAAATACCCAAGCATCTCCCAGGCGAAAATTCTCGCCATCGAGAAGTGTATCCAGTTTAACATAGAGAGAAACTATCATAGACAAGATATTATCATCATGTCCGATAGTCAAGCAGCCATCAAAGCGCTGAGCTCTTACGTAATCAGCTCAAAAATGGTCTGGAGATGCCTAGAATAATTGAATGAGCTGGGCGAGAAAAATAGAGTTACTCTCACTTGGGTCCCAGGACATAACGGGGTACAGGGTAACGAGATTGCAGATAGTCTTGCAAGGAAAGGGGCTCAAACACCCTTTGTAGGACCTGCGCCGTTCTGCGGTATCAGCAGTAACACAATATTAGGAGAGCTTAAAAAAGAATTGGGCATTAGAAGAACCGATAATTGGAACAATTTCTTGGGGCTAAGACAGGCCAAGATACTTCTGGGTGAATATAATCAGAAAAGATCGGAAGCCTGCATCTGCCTGAGCAACAACAGGCTACGTATTGTAACAGGGATCCTTACCGGGCATTGCCGACTAAAAGGACACGTTATAGGCATTGAGACATTTCCTTAGTTCATTGGCGACAGAAGGGGACACAATAGATCTTTTAGGTCGCAGTGTATTAACACCCCATTCTCAACATAACATAACACCCGTGTTCCTTATTTAATAATTATTATTGAATAATTATTTTTTCGTTATTACCCATTTTCTTTACAAGTGTATAGATGAAAAACAAGTATTTTAACTTTCTTGCAAAAACAGTGATAAGAAATATTTTAACAAATGAAAGGCGGCATGCTATTATTATTAATGTTTTAATTTTAATATTTATAATTTATAATAATGCCGCTCCTAAGATTTGCGCCCCGAACAAATGTCCGGGTTGTCCGGCCTTGGAGCGGGCCCTGCTTATGTAATAAATCATATTAAAAGTATTAATGATGATTTTATTTATTTTTTTTATTTTCAGGCACAACTCGATTCAAATGGAGCCGTAATTTCAGTTCTAACAAACCCGCTTATAACTATTATTTTAGGCGTAGCAGCAATTTTAAGCATATATCAGTATTGGTTTCATAGTCAACGTTATGTTAAATTAGGAAATCAATTGCCAGGTCCAAGCACAATACCCATATTGGGCAATGCTCACATGGTATTAGGTTTATCAGCATCAGGTTTGTATTTAAACTAAAATAGTAGATTTTAGAAAATGGACATCACACTAATCTTACAGACTTTTGTGATTCATTGATCTTAACCTTTAACCGCTACCCTGAAAAATGTTCATACCGAGTGAGCATCGGTATGAGATACCGCTATACATAATATGTGGTATTACCTATAATTTTTATTCGAAAATTGAAACAACCTTATTTGTTTTGAAGAGGTTGAGTGGTGTGTACACACTGGGTAATAAGAAATGAATCGAAAGTATTTAAAGTGTGTAGATAGAGTTTTATTAATAAAACTCAGTAATATTAGTCTAAGCGCTTTCGGCCTGTTGGGCCATCATCAGAGACTTCGTCAATAAATGTAGAAGAAGCATGAACATTTATATTTAATTAGATTTAAAAGGACTGCAACAATACGGTCCCTGTTCTCCACCATAACTTGAGGCTTGAATCGTAAGAAATAAAAGAACCACTCCTAACAGGTGGTTGCAATTTAAGAAAACACGTGGGGGCTCATCCCAACAAGTAGAAATGCACAATCTCAACCATTCAAAGGTAGAGAAAGATAAAAAACTGTACTTCAACATGAAGCCAGCTGACCCTTCCAAGTCCCTGCCGAGAGGCGGAGGCAAGTTGGGGCACAAGAAATCGTAATGCGTAAGCGAAATTTTCTACATTTATTGACGAAGTCTCTGATGATGGCCCAAAAGGCCGAAAGCGCTTAGACTAATATTACTGAGTTTTATTAATAAAACTCTATCTACACACTTTAAATACTTTCGATTCATTTCTTATTTGTTTTGTTCTTTCTTTATTATTAATCGCAAAAATAAAACCAATAGGCAAATTTGTATATTCTGTATAGCAGTAGTCGCCAACCTCTCAATGTGTTGAGCTACTTTGTTAATTTTGGAATAAGCAGCGAGCTACCCACACGGAAGCCACGTACCGCAACGTAAATGAAATAATCCACAGTTAATTTATCATTATATGTATTTATTTTACTATTTAACTGGTAATACATAATACACAGGTACTAATAATAAACTAATAACAAAATAACTAATATTACTGGTACGTACTTGTTCATAGCTACATTCCTACCTACCAAACGAAGGTGTTTGAAAAACAAACACAAACTTTTATCCAGCCACAACGGCATGTCACGTAAGATTTAAAAATAGTTAATAATAACAACAAAAAAGTAACGCACTATCATGAACATAAACATTGAAAAATAAAAAAGCACGTTCAATGAGAAGGCTGACACTCAGACTCATCGATAATTTTTTTCATGTTTGCAGTATAATTTGATACAGTCATTCGAATACAATTATCCAAATGTTCATCTGTAAGTCGATTACGATATTTTTTCTTAATAAACTTCATATTGGAAAAAGAAGATTCACACAAATAGGTTGAACTGAATAATGCTTTCACTTTCAAGGCAACACGGCATAGAACTGAATATTTGTCTGTACACACAATAGGCCAGATACATTTGGTACTTGAGATTAACGATTTTAAGGCTAAATCATTTTAAAACTCAATTACTTCCATTTCTGTTGTAGCGATGTCTTCGCCAAAGTTCTGCATAACACAAGTTGCAAACTGTTGGATATCAATTTCCATAAAGGGTGAAACAACAAACTGCGCTACTAAAGCCATTTCGTTGAAATCCTTAAAACGATTTTTGAAGTTATTCTTCAGGGTAGAAACTATTTCTACATGATATTTGCTGTCATAGGGTTCTAATGGATTTTGAGATATTTTTTCTGAAAGAATAGGAAAATGCTTGGCATCGCTGTTAATTAGGTTTTGTTCCCTTTTTGATAAATGCTTTTATATCAGAAATCATTTCAGCTAGTTCTTTGTCTCTCCCCTGAAGCTGCAAATTAAGTTCGTTTAATTTATCTGTAATGTCCACGAGAAAACCAAAATCTCTAAGCCAGATTGAATTTTCTAGTTCCGAGTCGGTTCATCGCGTTGTTTGAAAAATTGAACTGTGCCAGATAGGACATCATTGAAACGTTTTGAATAAGGTTTTGAATAATCTTCTTTGTAACGCTTGAGCTCTAATGTTGTTCACAATTTTTACCACCAGTTTCATAACGTTGTTTAGTCTCAGGAAATTTCCACATAATGCTTGCTGATGGATAATGCAGTGGTAACAGAGAAATTGCGGAAAAGTTTCATCTTTACGACATAACGCCACCAGACCCTTATCACAACCCACCATAGCTGGAGCGCCATCGGTTGTCATTTTCCTACCATTTTCGATATTGGAATTTTCTCGGAAAAAATAATATTTTTTAAATGAGAAAACAACTCCTGTCCAGTAGTGTGTCCTTTCAGTGGAATAAACTCCAAAAGATTTTCTTTAATCGTAAAATCACTAAAAACCATCCTGACGAACACAGCCATATGGGCAGTGTCAACGACATCTGTTGAATCATCCAGTTGAAGTGAAAAATAAACACAGTTATCTAAGTCAGTTCTTAACTGTAAAAAAATATCATTGCTCATTACTTCTTCACGTCTCATCACTATATTAACAGAAAGTTGCATAGATTTTATAGCTGAAACTATCTCGTCTTTATTTCTAAAGTTGGCAAATAACGAATCAGCAGTTTCTAAAAACGCCTGTTTTATCATTTCCCCGTCTTCATAAGGTTTCTTTTTTGTGCAATTATCTGGGACACACGGTACGATGCTTCAGTTGCAGCCTTATTTTTGTCGACTGTTCTTAAAAATATTGATTGTTGTCCAATTAACTGCTTTTTTAACTGTTTCAGTTTCTCCTTTCTGGCGGCAGAATGTAGTGGGAATGATTTTTCAAAATTAGAATGTACAGTTTTATGATGTCTCTCAATATTTCCTTTTTTAGCAACGGAGACCGTACATAACAAACACACATTTTTATCTTTAACTTCTGTAAAAAAGTATTGTTCTTCGCATTCCGAATGAAAGTGGTATATTTTTACCTTCTTACAACTGCTTGCCATGATATTATTTTTTGTTGTTCTCTACTTACCCAACCGCTGGACGTTGGTTACGCGTTCAGTTTTAAACTAAGCGCAATGACGCCGCGTCGTGCGTATTTATCCCGTTCAAAGCAATCCTGATCGTTCTTGAACACTAACGCGCTGGTCCGGCTGGTCGGTTCTAGCCGATTCTAGCTTGATGGTGTCAGCGGCAGATCGCTCACCGCAACGTTGCCGCTGTTTATGTTTAATATTATGACAATTAGATTTTTTTGTGGAATTTTCGAAAGCTTCTCTGATTTTTGCAGTTTGTATTTTTTAAATTAAAATCGTTGTGAGAGCTACCAGAATTGCCTCCGAAGCTACCGGTTGCTCGCGATCGACAGGTTGGCGACCACTGCTATATAGGCAGATATGTATACTTTCTTATTTTTCTCGATTTTTTACATAATTGTTACACATTTTTTTAGCATGATCCAAAAGAATTGGTTTTTCACATTCTCGACAAACAAAAAATGTCTTCCGCTTCAATTTGTAGTGGCATAAGAACCATGTCTTTTTAGTTTGCAGTTGTTCATCGTTTGGATCTTTTTCTTCGAGATATTCTGCTATTTGCAGTAGACACTCCATACGACTTCTTAGCTCTCTTGATAATCTAAGGTTTTCATTATATCGGTGTTGCATTAATGGTGTGATTAGACTTTTTGTCACTATTTTGAGGAAGTTGGAATGATCTATTAGTTCGTAATTCTTATTGCTTTGATACAAAATGTAGGCGTTGATTGAGCACATATTCATCATTTGTAGGAAAACAGCCATGGGCCATCTGCGAGTCCTCCTACAAGAAGAATAATTTTCGCATTTCTTATCTAAGCTATCTACACCTCCCTTGGTCATATTGTAATCGGTAATCATTTTTGGCTTTCCGGTATCTGGGTCATATTTTATAGAATGGTGCATTGAAGAAATTAGCAATACAGCCTTATTTTTCTTGGGAACATGGGGAAGCAGAGTAATGTTTTCTTTGAATCCGTATAATTTACTACAGACTTTTTTCTTTTTGTCTGGCAAAAAAGAGGCATAGTCCAGTAACTGAAGGGACAAACCTGTCATTGAGTCGGTCCAGATTTCCGTTGTGGCTCAACTCTTAGGTCTCGGCGGTCGCTTCCAAGGTCGAAAACTTTTACTAACTCTGCTGCGTCGGAAAGGGCCCAAAATGGACCCTAAAACTGGCTTCCCGCCAATATCTTCCACAATATGCAAATTAGAGAATTTTTGTTTAGATAAAAAAGAAAGATCTTATCATTATCTACAAAAATGGTCCCTATCATTTTTGTCGGGAATTCGACAGGTTTCGAGATAACCGCAATCAAAAGTCCCTCGTTCAGCTCCTGTTTTATCTCTATAGCAATGCTGATTAGCTTGTAAACGGGTTGTCAAATTGTTTCAGAACTCGGTCAAAAATTGATATTTTTCGATGATTCAAAGTTCATTACAATGAGAAAACCCATAGGTATCGATCCATGTGCCTTAAAGCCCATTATTTCCTGTTATGAACATTTAAAAAGGGGTTAAAGTTGCGTTTTCCTACTATTTTGGACCACTTTATAGTAATTCATTCATATTTTTTTTCTTTTAATAGTTTTTAATCCCATTTTTGTTTTAAATGGGATCTTGAGATGTCTCGAATGATCTCAGAAATTTTTTTCCAGTATCTTCCTGACATTTTAAAACAAAATTGCATTTTTCATACGTTTTCGTAGTTATAAAAATCTTTGAAACAAGCAGTAATTAAAAACTCATATTTCATTATATTGTTATCCAATGCACGCCATTTTAAAGCCTAGAGTGTCTACTTTTTGAATTTATTTTTTTTTTTTTTAATAAAGTTGCTCCATTTTCCAGAAGTCGGGAAAATTGATCACACAGGGGAAAACCGGACTTTTTTTTTAAATACTTCTTGTTCCCTGCTGTTCATTTTTTTAACATTAATACCCAGACCGAAGTGAAGCTGATATT